CGGCCAGAAACCCAGGGAAGCCGCCCCCGACGCGCTCCCGCGATGACCCTCGCTGGAGGCGGAACCGGGGATCCCTCTTCTCCCCCAGGAGTCCCTGCGCTGGGCACTGGAGTGGGGTCGAGCCTGCCCAGTTGGCCTAAGTGGGGAGGCCCGAAGTGGGGAGGCCGCTGAACTTGCTGTTTTCTGTCCGCCGGGGGAGGGAGTATCGGGAGTGGGGTTCAGGGTTTGGTTGCTCTGGGGAAAAGGCTGCTTTTATCGTGGGAGGGGGCGTGATTGCTTAGGATGAGAGGATGTTGGGTGTGCAGAAACGGAGACACGGTTTCGGTCTGGGATTTTTTTTTTTTTTAAGCCAGCGCTCAGAGTAGGGGGCCCACTTTAGGGAAAAGGATGCGAAGCCATAAACTGGAAGCCAGGATTCTCCTGGAAGAGACCTTTCTGGCCGTTCACTATGGCCTACCCTTCCCCGCCTGCTATGGAGCTTCGGAGGGTAACGACCGGTGACCGCGGGGCTGAGTGATTGAGGCTTAAGAGGGAGGCTCGGTGGTCTCAAAACGGGACCCCTCGCCGCAATATCCTTCAGGGACAGCCCAGCCCACAGGGCTCAGGCCCAACTCAGACCGGCGAGCTTGCCCACGGCCCTGAGCCTGAGAAGAAGGGGGAGGGGGCCTAACTTCCGAACCCCCAGCCCTGTGCTCCAACCCCAACTGCTCACCTTCCAGAGCCCTCCATTTCCAAGCCTCCACTCCTTGGCAGCTCGGACCAATGGTTCTCAAACTTGAGCGTGCACCGGCAGCACGTGGGGCGGGGGGCTCGTGAAAACACTGGCTGCCTGGCCTCAACGGCCAGAGTTCCTGCCTGATTCAGCGGGCCTGGGGACGTTTTTCAGCCCTGGCTAATTTAGAATTACCCGGGGAGTGTTTTGAAACCAAACCAATTAAGTCAGATTCCCTGGGGTCAGGGAGTGAGTCCTTTAAGGACCGCATTCTCAGACTTCCTCCACTTATTTGTTTATCTTTGTAATCTTTCAGAGAGAGTGTTTGTTTGCCTACTCTGGGCCTGTAAAGGCCAGGGTTGTATTTTGTATCTAGTCTTATCTAACCAGGCCCCTACCCTGCGCTGCTCCGGTCGGGGCACCTGCCTTAGAGGACAGGCCAGTTCACCTTTGCTTCCTGCTGGTGTGGATGTTCACGGAGAGGTGCGACCAGACCTCAGAGAAGGGCAGGGGGTAGGGCAAGGCAGGAGAACAGGGCCGAGAAGAAGCTATGGGGAAGAGGGCTGTTGATCACCCCCTGATTTTTCACAGCTAATTTTCCACTTTAGGGATTATCGCTTTAATCCCTAGTAGGCTTGTCCTGTCACTCAGCAGAATTCACTCCGTGTCCCTGGTACCACGCAGCTGGCTGTGGACTGGGAGAATGTATTTGTTATCCTTATCCAGAGAAATAAAATCTCTCACACACAATTAAGAGCACCATGTTGCTTTATTTTATTTTTTTTAAGTATTTAACAACGCCAAACACGTATATTTTCAACCAGTGGCTTTCATGCTTTTTATTGCATTTTTTTTACAACAAATCTTTGTGGAATATTAATATGTAAGACATACAGGGTGTATGTATGTGTTTTTATCAGGCCGATGAATTGTTTTGAGGAAATGCCTCCTTGTCTAAAGTACTTCTGAAAGAAACACTTAAAAGTTTTTCTGGTGTTTTTATATCAGCGATTTTCAACCGGTGCGCCAGGGCACACTGGTGTGCCACAAGAATTTTTAAAACATGCAATACCTGACTATTTAGTCAGGGGCGCTGACCTATTTTCCTTAGGTTGTCAAATACAAAAATGGAAATAGCCAACACAGTAGCCGCCTGGTATGAATGAATTAAAGTTATACCTATTTTTTGTCAGATTGGCAAAAATATATATTTTTGTGTGTCGCAGAATTTTGATAGATTATATGTGCCACGAGATGAAAAAGTTGAAAATCTCTGTTTTAGAATGTCCACACCCGTCCTTCATATGAATGAGGAATTCAGAGCTGACTCTGTTCTTCCTAAAGGCATGGGAATCACTTTTACTTTTAGGTGTCCCCAGCTTCTGTCTTTTGCATTCTAAGGGAACACTGCTATCTTAGTGTGGGCTGCCATAATGAATACCATAGAATGGATGGCTTAAATGAGAGACATTTATTTCTCACCGTTCTGGAGGCTGAAAAACCCAAGATCAGATGCCAGCAAATTGGATTCTTGGTGAGGACTCTTCCTGGCTTGTAGATGGCCACATCTCATTAGTTCCCACATGGCCTTTCCTCAGTGTGCACACCTGGGTGGAGAGAGAGCAGGTTCACTTATAAGGGGCACTAATCTCATTATGGGAGCCCCACCCTCATGACCTCATCAAAACCAAATGGCCTCCCCAAGTCCCCACCTCCTAATACCATCCCATTGGGGGTTAGGACTTCAACATGAATTTTGGGGAGATACCACATTCAGTCCATAACAAGTGCTAATTGCTTTTCATGCCTTCCTTCCCACTATCAAAAAGCAGCCAAGAGGGATGGCATTTTATATTGTGTGCTCCACACTCCTCTTTCTATGGCTTTGTTGTAAAACAGACAGGATTTGGGATTGTATGGATTATCAGTAAGATTTCCTTAGAAGCCCTCTATAGCAGGTGACAGGGCCTAGGGCAGGGGTGGGCAAACTTTTTGACTTGAGGGCCACAATGGGTTCTTAAACTGGACCGGAGGGCCGGAACAAAAGCATGGATGGAGTGTTTGTGTGAACTAATATAAATTCAAAGTAAACATCATTACATAAAAGGGTACGGTCTTTTTTTTTTTTTTTTTTTAGTTTTATTCATTTCAAACAGGCCGGATCCGGCCCGCGGGCCGTAGTTTGCCCACGGCTGGTCTAGGGTCATTCATTTCTGCTGGCCAAGCTCTCTCAGCTTTGATAAGAACAGCAGAGATCATACCTGAGATTGGAGTTAGTGTGGTGTGTTGGAGGGTGCTTGGGGCAGAGTGGAGGATGGTCAGCCCAGCTAAACTCTATGGATGAAGAGTGGAGGAGGGCTGGGTCTCCAGAAGAAAAATCAAAGTCCTCGTTCCAAAAGAAGGGATGTATTAGCTTTTGCTGGGATAACACTATGTCACAAACAACCCACCACTCAGTGACTTACAAGTGCGTTTGGGCTGCCTGGTTTCAGGTCTGCTTCATACATCTTCTCATTCTGGGACCCAGGCCGAAGGAACAGGGTGAACTTGGGGCAGCTGGTTCTCCAAGAGTGGAGACAGATGATTCCTCTTAAAACCGCTACTTGGGACTAGCACACGTTCACTTTGGCTACAATCTATTGGGGACAGCAAGTCATATGGCCAAGTCTAAAGTCAATGGGACAGGGAAAAGTACAGGGGTGGGGAGAGAAAATTCTGAACAAATAATACAAGAGGAAATAGATGCTGGGTATACAAAGAAAACACATCTCAGGTCCCTCATACTTAAACATTCCACAATGTAGAACAGAATGGGATGCTATGAAAGGTTAAAAATATATATATACAGATGAATGAGAAATAATACAGATGAATTATATATACAGATGAATTAGATAGGGCAGGAGAAAAAAACTGAGTTTTAGAATATATCAAATTATTCTAGAACACAGCAAAACAAGTAATATATGAAACTAAGGACTTGATGGTATTACATTTATGGATTGATGAGTTTTGGTAGAAATTGAAAAGTGGTGAGCCATCATGATTTCCAGGACTGCCTCAATATTGAGGGAATATGGGTTAGAGTTGGGAATGGATAGCCAAAGCCTGATGGGAAGGCAGCCCACTCTGGTGGAAAGTATACATTTGGAAGCAGGAACTTTGGGATCCAGTCCCATACTGACCTGTTCTAGTTATGTGACCTTGACTAAGTCACTCGCCCTCTATGAGCCCGAGTGAGCATCGGTTTTTACTGATTTTTACAGTGAATGCCAATTTTACATTAAAACAATATGTTATAGACTAGGACTCAAAAACTTTCATGACCTTCTTTTGAAAGAGTATTTAAAAGAAATTTATAGACTTGCAGGCAAACAGCGGGGAGCCTGCATTCTCCCTTTTGTGTTGTTAGCGATCTTTCAGTGGGCACATTTGAGAAGTATTAATTTGGACCATCCCTTTGGCCCTCAGACTGGACATCCAGGGACCAGGGTTGACAAACTACAGCCCACAGGGCCGGCACCTGTTTCTATGTGACTTTCAAGCGAAGAATAATCGATTTTTCCTTTCTTAAAAAATATAATTGGGGTAAAAAAAAAGTAACATAAAATTTACCATCTAATCTTCTTAACTACATGGTACCATAGCATGTTAAGTGTAGTCACAACTTTTTTGGCTTGCAAAACTGAAATTCTATACCCCTTAAACACAACTCCCCATTCACCCTTACAAACACTATTCTACTTTTTGTTTTTGTGAATTTGACTATTTAGATACCTCATGTAAATGGAATCATACAGTATCATGAGTTTTAGCTTATTTCACTTAGCATAATGTCCTCAAGGTTGACCCAGATTGTATCACGTGACAGGGTTTCCTTCCTTTTCAGGGTGAGTAATGTTCCATTATCTGTATATACCATAACTTTTTTTTAACAACTCATCTGTTGATGGACATCTAGGTTGCTTCCACCTCTTGATTATTGTGAACAATAAGAATTTACATTTTTAAATGGTTGAAAACAAATAAAAGGAAAAATAATATTTTGTAACATGTAAAAGTTATAGAAATTCAAGCTTTATAGGCACACAGCACTCTCTCTCTCTCACACACACACACACACAC